CTACTTGTCACCATTACATGGTAATCCCCACGAAGGGGCTTCATGCGTTCATACTGTTCACCAGGACCGAGCATATGCTCAATAAATATTTGTTAAATGAATGAATTAACCTGGGGAGAACATCTCCTGAGTCCCTTCATACCAACCGTTGAGAAACAGCTTTGGTGCCAGAGGAATTGCCAATCTCGTTTCATTGCTATGCTCCTTTTTTGGATAGCACCTTTCTATGTGGAGAAACTTCCTCTCAAGATCATGGAGGGTAGACTGTTGAAACTTAAGTGGTGGTTCATTTCTTCTCACCTCTGCTCTAAAGGGACAGTATGACTTGGTCAAATGCCTGGCTCCAATCCGAGACCCCAAGACTGAGCAGGATGGGCATGACATAGAGAACGAGTGTCTGGGGATGGCTGTCCTGGCCATCTCCCATTATGCCATGATAAAGAAGATGCAGTTGCCAGAACTCCCCAAGGACATCAGGTAAACCTTTCTTCTGGCTAAAGAATTGATTGTGGGGGTGGTGTTATTGTTACATGTTTTTGTACCTCTCAGTTTAACCACTACCAGCTTTTGGCTGACCCTTCTTCTCTGCAGAGCTCAAATGTTTTTTTAGATTATCTATAAAAGGTAGTGCAATTATGATCGTGTCATGATTTCGAATGTTGGCTGATGACCTCAGACATTTGTACTAAGGTGAAAAATTTGGGGCTGGAGATGCCAATCAAATTACTGACCCTCATGCCCTGCCCTTTCCTCTTTGCCCATGGAAGGCATTGCCATTTATCACTGCATTTTTTCCTTTTGTGCTGGACCCATCTTAAAATCCTTCTCCACATAGTTCTACAGGCAGCCACTACCATCCCAGCCTGAACTATAGTTCACTAGAGAGCTGTTAATTCTGATGTGAAGGATGATCAACTGTTACCTTAAGGAAATTATGTCAACTTAAAAATAATCATTTATGATCAAGTCTTGTGAAGAAATATTCAATATGCATAATTTCCACTCATCTATGAAATAATTTTTTTCCAGTGAGATATTGTGATTGTCGTAAATGAAGATAGTCTCATTTTGAAGAAATTATTTATAGCTGTAATAGTTGTGATAGGCAACATGCCTCTTCTTATAAGGTTACTTCTTATATATTCTTGTCCTTGGGCAGACCTCTTCTGCCCTTGATCAGAGTCTGGAGCACATCATGAGTTGCTCCTCAGTAATGCAGGGACAGATAGGATGCATGCTGTATTGCTACTTTCTTTTTTTTGTGTGTGTGGCTTTTGCTCTGGGTACCTCCTCTTTATATTTTCAAGAGGCTAAAGCGAAAAATGACAACCCTCCCCTGATCTTCCCCCTCATTAATCTAAAAAAAATGATGACATTTTTGGGGGATAAATTCAAATTTCCCAATTTCCACTGTTTTGAAACCACCCATTCATCAGCAGGGATTACCCTGTGCCAGGTTCTGTCTCGGGCCTGGGAATGGCAGGCACACCAGTCTCCCCATTTGTTCTTTCTTTCATGGATATTCTTACTCTCCTTAAGCTGGGTCCTGTACTAGCAGTATATCAGTTCGTTGAGATTCTGTTAATCATAGATACTCTCCTATTAGCACCTGGATGAGTAATAAACTTTCAGTTTACTTGTTGACCTATTTAATATATCTGGGCCATTTTCACATGGCAAACAGTAAGTCTTTTGTATTTAATTAGCTTTTATGTGTTTTCTCCGTTTATAATAAAAACAATACGTGATCTTTATAGAAAAATTATAAAACAGATATGTAAGAAGAACATACGAAGCATCCATAATCACCCATGACACTTTTCAGGCCACCGTCTAAGTGACACTGAATTTTAATAACAGCGTGCTTACGTGAGGGCTGATGTGCACAGGAACAGTGACACTAGCCAGCAAAAACATAAGTCAGTTTTGCTGCCTGCCTTTGTGACCCAGATAATTTGAGGATACCTGTAGGAATTTCCGTTTCAGTAAAAGTCTGTGGGATATGCACTTTTCTGTTTTCCTGTAGTCCCTGTTGACCTCCCTCTCCTTAGGATTGTCATCCTCGGTGCTTACTCCATCTACGACCCTCTGGGAGCAGATCCTCCTTTCTTGTTTGGCAACATGTGGAAGAAAGATTTATAGATTTAGGTTTGTTTCTAAACTATTGTCAGCTAACCTGTACATGGAAAAGAGATCTGTTTTTCTATTTTCTCTTAGCTACAAGCGATATATTCCAGAAACATTGAATAAGTCCATCAGACAGAGGAACCTTCTCACCAGGATGAGGATAAATAATGTCTTCAAGGATTTCCTAAAGGAATTTAACAACAAGACCATTTGTGACAGCAGTGTGTCCACACATGACCTGAAGGTGAAATACCTGGCTACCTTGGAAACTTTGACAAAACATTATGGTGCTGAAATATTTGAGACTTCCATGTTACTGATTTCATCAGAAAATGAGCTGAATTGGTTTCATCCAAATGACAGTGGAAATGTTCTCTACTATGAAGTGATGGTGACTGGAAATCTTGGAATCCAATGGAGGCAGAAACCAAATGTAAGTGGCATTGGTGACTGATCAAAACAACATCCTGTGTCACACGGTGTGCTCTGTTTATCCTGTTGGAATCATCTGTTTGTGTGCCCATCACCCTTGTCAGCTGAGTTTATTTAGGCTAGAAACCATGTATCATTCATCTTTTATTGTGTCCATATAGCAGTAGATCCAAATAATATTTACTACGTTCTGCAGGGAAATAGAAAAAATATAATAATATATATGATATATAATATATTAGCAGCAGACATTTACTGAGTGCTTACTATATGCCAAGTTCTTTTCTAAGCATTTACATATATTAACTCATTTATTCCTCAAGATAAAAAACCTTTTAGGGGAATACTACCATTATCCTTATAATATAGATGAACACAAAGAGGCTCGAGAAGTTAAGAAACTTGTCCAAGGTCTTAACTAATAAACAGTTGTGCCAAGAATTGAACTTAGTCTGCGGCCATGCCACCCTGAAAGTGCCCGATCTCATCCGATCTTGGAAGCTAAGCAGGGTCGGGCCTGGTTAATATTTGGATGAGAGGCCACCTAGGAAGACCAGGTGCTGTAGACGTTAAAAAAAAAAAAAAAAAAATTGAACTTAGTCCTCTGGCTCCATGAAATGGGATAATTGATTTTTTAATTTGAAGCTTCCTTGAAGTGTTTGTTGAATGAAGCAATAGAGCAGAGTGGTTTTAAAGCATGGGTTTTAAACCTAAATTGACCTGGTTCAAATCCTAACTGCATTATTTGTAGTTACATGGCCTTAGGAAGGTTGCTTCACCGCTATCAGCCACATATTATGGAGATACTATAAAACAGGTATTGTATCTACCTCATAGGGTTCTTGAGAAAACTAAACGTCATTTAGCACAGAGCTTGGCATATAATAAATGTTCAGTAGATTATTTTAACTGCTATCATCATCATTATTACTGTAAATAATATTAAAGTAAAGGTGAGATTCATTTTTTCCTATTTTATTTTTTTGCTGAAATAACAATGTCTGACTTATTGAGTGCTTTCTATGTAGTAGAGACTGTGTTAATAAGAATTTACCTAATCTTCAAAGAACGTTGTGAAGATGTAAGATCTCTGCTTAATTGATGGGGAAATGGAGGCTCAAAGAGATGAACAACTAGTTAAGTAACTGAAAGAGGCAGGATCTCAACCCAGATCTCTAGTTTCTAAGACTCATGCTATACAAAATGTTTAAACTTATGCAGACATGTATGATTCCCTAGATTATTCAAGTCTGGGATTTGTACCTTCTCTTGACAATTCTGGCTAGAATGTTATTATAAAGTCAAGACAACCAGTGATGGATTCTAAAAGGAGAAATCCCGTGTTCTGTTCAGTCATGTTTGAGAAGAACGTGTTCTCTGCCTGTGTTGAAACACGTCAGTCCAGAAGTGAGGGGACCTGATTGTAGATGCATGTCTAGTGGGCAGTTATTTCCCTTTCTAAGTTGACTTGTACATTATAGATTATGTAAAGAGTTTAGTCAGTGTGTTAATAAAGGTCTCCTCCGGGCATAAAATCCCCACATTGTGATGGGACCCAGAACATCGTGATCCTAAGCCCATGTGCCAGCTCTCCCGATTGCTCTGTAAACCCAAGCATGCTGGTTTTCTCATCCTTGGATGTAGGCTCTGCACTGGCTTTCCAGAAGCACTGACCTTTTTACCATTAGAAAGTGAGAAAGCCAGCTTAACCGTCATTTTTATGCGTGTTATCAGGTTGTTCCTGTCGAAAAGGAAAAAAATAAACTGAAACGGAAAAAACTGGAAAATAAACAGAAGAAAGATGAGGAGAAAAACAAAATCCGGGAAGAGTGGAGCAATTTTTCTTACTTCCCTGAAATCACTCATATTGTAATAAAGGAATCTGTGGTCAGCATTAATAAGCAAGACAACAAAAAAATGGTAAGTTTGCTCCAGAAGCTATTCAGTTTGGATCTGGTGATGAGAGGAAGATTTTGCTGAGAACGGTTATACAGCACATGCTTTTCAGAGTTCCTGTCCTAGAGAGAAAATCTGATGGTTATCTTATTTAATCCAAAAAGTCCCTATTGCTAACACTGACATTATCATTGTCAGGCTTTTAAGTTACACGGGTATACTTCTGTGCCTCTCTTTGGTCTTATAAATATGAATCTGTTTCAGCATTTGTTCCTTTCCCAAAGATATTTCAGCATAATATTTAATTCACAAAAATTTTGTGAATTCGAAGGAAAAGCAGATTAGCGAATATCAGCATTTCCTCCTCCCCCACCTCCGGCCTCCTTCACAGTCTCTCTGCTGAGTTTGGTAGGTCATCTAAGGTAAAGTTGATGGGAAGCCCCACTTTGCACTTTAGGGACTGTCAGGCTGGTGGCTGTGGCCACAGTGGCAGTCCTCACCGTGGTGTCAGTCACACCCAAGTGACTCTTGGACAGAGGAAGGAGTGTTCAATCTCACTTCCTTTCTTTTAGTATCACTTGAGGATATAATCTAGATAGGCAGGCCAGTTTGGCAGGGGAAGTGTGAACCCTGCCAAAATATACATGTTTGTGTTAGGGAAGTCACCGCTGACAACACGTGGAGAGCATGGGCTGGGAGGCAGGTGCTCTCGCAAAGTGAAGATAGTCAATGCTAGGGAAATGCCACGTTTTGTCTAAAACTTGGCAAATAGTGTGTCAAAAGAATAACACTCAGTGGCTGGGAAAGAATTTGGTGACATGGTAGTAGGACAGTCAGTCATCCTTTTACACTTAGAGTAACTGTCTTTTTGGTATACTTTTTGGAAAGCAGTTTGGCTACATGTGTTGAAACTCTTGAAAATATGTGTATATTTCTCCATTCAGGAGTCTAGGGATCTGTCTTCTGGAAACAATGAGATGCAGGCAGTGGTCTGTGAATGAGAATGTTTATCCCAACAGTATTTACAGTATCAAAATACTGAAAAGAACCTAAATATGTAACAATGGGAGAATGGGAAAATAAATTATAATTCACCTGAGTAGTAGAATATTACATAAATGAATTGCTGAATTTTTTTAATAATCTGGAAAAATGCTTTGTAAATGGAAGAATAGATATAAATCTATTTATCAAATGGGACCAATTTTGTTTAAAAAATATTGAGAGGGTATGCATATACGTACATATACTCTTAGAAAAATAATAAAATATTAAGTTATTTATAATGGGATTATGAATGATTTTAATTTTCTTATTCCTCACCTCTCCCCTCTTTTTTAAAAACAATAAATATACATTAATTTCATCAGGAAACTATAATAAAAAATAAAGTGAAGAGAGAAGTAGAAGAGCCCAGATAGTTGTTAGTGGGAAGATGGAAAATGGAGGGCAGGAGAAAATCAAAACAAGTGCTATTTATTCAGCATTTTATAGATATTAGGCTCTATTATATTGTGTCTACATTATCTTATTTAGTCCTTATAAGAACCTTAGATGTAGGAATTTGGGCTCCATTTCCAGTGGGTAATCTGAGACTTACAGAGAGGTGTAAAATTTGTACAGGGCACAGAGTGAGAAAGCGGCAGCTCTGCCTGTACTACTTCGGTTTCCAAGGCATTCTCTCCCAGAGCCAGTGGTGAGGGCGAGTGAGGGTTAACACGTCTGTGATCTAGCTCTTCAACATGGCCAAACCCTGAAGATGCATAGCAGAGGAGGAGACGCAGCAGCCAGCTGGTACAGTTTTTGTGAGCCTGCCCCTGTCCTGTCCTGGCCGACAGAGCTTCAAGTCTGGCACCCAGTTGGTGCACCTGTCATCTGAGTCAGAGCTCACTCTGACCACATGGGCCGATGACTCTGTGCCAAGCTGCAGTGCTTTGTAGGGAGCAGGTGGAAGTGAGGAAGAAATACTTGTTCTCTCCATTACTTTATTTTCTTTTGTAAACACTAGCTCTTACTACATGCCAGGCACTTCCTATTCTAAATACTTTACAACTATCAACTCTTTTCATATTAACCCTGTGAGGTGGGTATATTATTATCCCCTTCTTACAGAGGAAGAAACTGAGGCACAAAAAGATTAACTTACACATGGTCACAGCTATTAGGCTAAATAATTTGAAAGTGCCCGTTTCTTGGCAGTTGGCTGTTTTGACCTATGAAAATGATTACGTCTGCTTAAGTATAATAGTAAGTGGAAACACTGATATCTGAACCCAGATAAGCTGGCTCCAGAGCCTGTGGGTTAACACGGCGCGATGCTCTCTCTTCTTTATCTTACTCCTTTGTCCCTTCATAGCCAAGGGGTTTCCAAGCCCTTTGATCAGGCAGTACTTTGGCTCTTGGTCTTTCAGGAAAGCATGATGCTAATATGTTATCATATCATATCTTGATTTATCTCATCTCTCTGAATTTTTTTGACGTTCCCCATTTCTGTTCTTACATCCGCTTTCAGGGAACTTAAGTGCTTATGTGGTCTCACTCATATATGACTAGATGAAGGGCTGCCCAAGCTAGACCATCTTGAATTTGCTTTTTGGGGATCTGCAGGGAGATGCCAGGTCATACCTGAAAGGAAGCACATTTAGTACAAAGTCTCATTCCTGAATCACCATCCCTATGGTGGCCCTGCCCTTCTTGGCCTCCTTGGCTCACAACCCTAGAGCACCCTTCCCTTGGCCTCACAGCTAACTGTGACTAGGTCCCCTTTCCTCCATCCTGTCTTGTAGCTTTTATCTGCCCCCTTTCCCCTTCACTGGTCTGTTTTTCTCTGCTACCAGCCTCTCTTTTTCCCAGTGCTATGTAAAGAGCCTTATTCTTAGTAGTGTTTTGCTCTTCTCTGAAGACTCAGGTGCTTTTTCATGTTTTTATGGGTCAAAGCTCTAAATCATGGCTTTGCATACATACCTTCCTTCCCTAGGAGATGGCTCGCAAATGGTAATCTCTGCTCAGGGCTATATGATCAAGACAGACAGACAAATACAAAAACCTACCTGTCTTCACCTCCAAGTGTTTTTATGAAAACATTCCTTTCACGGAAATTCTCTCCCCCTTCTCCACTTTTGCCTTTGCCTCTCACACTTTGAGTAAGACACTGCCTCCTCCAAACCCTCAGGGGTCCCTGGACTTAACCTAACAACCTCATCATTGTATCTGGGACCATCCCTGGATTAAAATATAGGAGTTGCACCTTGTAGACCAGTCCTGCATGAGATGAAGCGTCTGTGCTCTGCTTCCTTTCCTAGAACAGGTATAATGCTGACTGAGTTTGTCATTGCTTAGCGCCAGGACCAGGGTACCACTTGCACGCTCTTCTCCTCCCATCTCCTCTTTTACACCTCTGCCACCTTGGTTCTGGCTTGCTTTTCCATCTAGACCCAGGTGACAGCTTCTTCACAGGTGTGCCTGCCACAGGTCTCAGTTCTCCCCTTCCTCACACACAAACACACTGTACCTCATTTGATAGTTTAGAGATAATAGCTGAGAAAGCGATAAACAGTGAACATTGTATATAAATGCAGTTATTAACAAAATGAGTTTCCCTTTGGGGTCCTGCATTCTCCATTGTGTTTTAAACATCTTCTCACCGTGTATCTCCCTGTAGTCGCTGCTCAAGATGGTAGACACATCATGTAACCATGGGCATTTCTTTTGTCTCACCAGGAACTGAAGCTCTCTTCGCACGAGGAGGCCTTGTCTTTTGTGTCCCTGGTAGATGGCTACTTTCGGCTCACAGCAGACGCCCATCATTACCTTTGCACCGATGTGGCTCCCCCACTGATCGTCCACAACATACAGAATGGCTGTCATGGTCCAATCTGGTTGGTTCTAGAACCTTTTCAGTTCCATTTTAGTGATGGGGAGTGTGGCCACCTCAGACACAGGTGTCATCAGTTGTTTAGGTCGGGGGCAGTTGAGCACGTTGTTTGGTACTGATTGATTTGGTGCCCTCTTTTCCATCCCCGCTGTCTGTTGTCTGGCTTTTTCTGTCCAAGTTCTTACCTTGGTCCTTGCAGCAGCCCCTCACATCTTGTCTCTTACTTGGTTCTCATGGTTTAAACCACCCCCGCCACCTCTCCACAGCTGACCAAGGAGTGCTACACTTCTTAACCCCCTGCTGTGCCAAAGTGACCCAAGAAAGATAAGACTCCACATCTGACAGAGTAGTAAATAATGGAATCCTGAGTTAGCTTGTCCTGAAGTGTCAGATAAATGGTGGGGACAGTGAGGGTGACCAAGCTTAGAGCTGGAAAGGGCCTTGCTGGATATCTTGTCCCTCTTGAGTCTCAGAACTAGTAGCCTGTGCTCAGATACCTCTGGTGATGGGGTACTTAACACTACACAAGGCTGCCAATAGATTTCAGCTCTAAAAACTACAGAGATACATACCTCTGATATGGCATTGAACTTGCCTCTCTGTAACTTCTGCCTATGCATTTGAATTCTGCCACTTGAAGCAACAGAGATTAGTTTACTTCTTTTTACATATGACAGACTGCCTTTCAGGCAAAAGAAAATGGCTGCAGTGTTTCTTCTGAGTCTCTATTTCCAGACCATAACATATCAGGGGAAGCATCTCTTTACCTGCCTTCCACATGATACAGATCCCATCTTCTTCCCTATCCCACTTACCTTGTGGACAGGTAGTTTGTTAATGGGGTGAGGTGAACCCAGGCCTAGAGAGGCTCACAGACCCACGGGCAGAGAGACAAAGAATTGCAGAGCGAAGGGTTGAACATTACAGAAGAGCATGTCCTTTAACTATCCTAACCATGGTTAGACCTCAGGGCCTTGGCACTTGTTTTTTCCTTGTCCTGGAATGTCTTCTTCCTCTAGAATCTACTCAGCTGCCACTTCCTTCAGGTGTTACTCAAATATCACCTCATCCGTGAAGTCTTCCCTGACCACCTTCTGTAAAGTAGCAATATCTCTTCCCTCTCCACACCCTGCACTTCCTGGCTTTTTTGCTCTGCTTTATTTTTCTTCAGTGGCATTTATTACCTCCTGACATACTATGTTTATTTCTGCGTCCATTTGTTTTTTGGCTGCCTACCCTCACTGCACAGAACATGAACTCCATCAAGGCAGGGACATTGTCTACTTTGTTCACTGCTTTTCTTCAGCACCCGTAGCAGGGCCTGGCACATTATAGGTAATTAATATATGTTGAATGAATGAAAGTCTCATGTTCTGTGAGGGGCTGAAACTCATTGCCTAAGACACCTTTGCAGAGTAGGTAGCATTTGAATCAGATTGAACTTTGAAGAATCAGTGATGGTTTACCAGGTCTTAAAGAAGAGAAAGGGCATCTTAATGTGAGGGATCAACATGCACAAAGGCATGAAAGTGTCGCAGACCACTTTCTAACTGCCTTTCTAACACATGTTGACCGTGCCAGCCCCCTTTCGTCAGTACTTAGCGCCATTCGCTAAGTGTGGTAACTTCATGTGTGTGTTTATTTAGCAACTGTTCACAGCCCTCTGAGCGCTAGGACTGATCAGTCCTGGGGCTACAAAGGCGCGTAAGACAGGCATGTTCCCGCTAACATCGTTCCGATCTTCACTGATTTCTTTATTCAGTGTTTATTATTCAGTTCACTCATTTATTGAGCAGCTACTGTGAGTCCAGGTGTGCTCTGGTTACTGGGGATACAGCAATGAAGAGACCGACCCCAAAGTTACGCCTTCCTGAGGCTCGTGTTCTAGTTTTGCTGCCTGGGGACAGTGGGGAGGGGACCCCTACCACTGCATCACAGGCAGCACCACCTCACCAGCCTTGGGGATGCTCTTCTGGCAGGAGCTGGAGACAGAATATATGGGCACATTGGGGATGAGCAGGGCTCAGTGCCTTGGGAAGCAGGCTGAATCCTCTTCTAGACCTTGGAGACTCTGATGATCTGTTTCGAGCCTCCTCGGCATCTCTGCTTGCTTCATATATCGTATCTGAGAGGACTTTAGGACCCAGGACAGATAAGGCGATAGGGCCGTAAGACTTAAGGCATCTCAGGGAAGTGGATATCCCCTGGGTTCAGAGTGCTCCTGTTTGGCGTGAGCTCTTTTCCCTTTTGCCCCTCTCTCCCTCTAGCACAGAATATGCCATCAATAAATTGCGGCAAGAAGGAAGCGAGGAGGGGATGTACGTGCTGCGGTGGAGCTGCACTGACTTCGACAACATCCTCATGACCGTCACCTGCTTTGAAAAGGCTGAGGTCAGTCAAGCCATATGGCCCAGGGTGTCATTGCAACCTGGCCCAGGAGCTGGTGCAGATGGGACTACTCTTGAGGGGTGGGGGTAGAAAAGCCTGGGTCTCTCAGAAAATTCCTGGCAGTTCTGACGGGGACAACTTCCTCTCCAAAAGGAGACTGCTCCGAGCAGCCAGACCCGTAACCTTTCCTCCTCATGGTCCCTTCTTTCTTCTTTCAAGAGACCCATGGCAGGAGTCCACTGTGGCTCTGGAAGGTAGAATGTGACCAGGAAACCAGTTCATACCAAACCTTCAGAAAGTTTAGAATAATTATTTAGAGGTTTTTTTTGTCTTTTTGCTTCGTTTTGTTTTGTTTTGCTTTGACACTCAGTGCCAAGATCAGCACAGACCTAGAGCTGTGTGTGTTTGTGGCATTCACTGGTACAAACCACTGCCAAGAGAGTCAACTCGGCATCTGGCCTAACGCAGTTTTTCCCAGATAGTAGCTTCAGACATTTTAACATACAAATTGCCATCCCATGTTTTGACAAGTGGAGATATTTATTAGCGACTCAAGTGTAGCTAGAAGTGAGAATGATGTGAAAGAAAGCCTGAAGGCTAAGATAGAAGCCAGAATTGACATTACCCCACCAAACCACAAATGCCTTTGTTATTCATGTAATTTTTTTTTTTAAATATAAGAAATGGAATATTTTAAAACACAATTTTACAAAATTAGTCCAAATATACTAGTGTTGAATGGGTTTAATGTGAACTGAGAGAACTGGGGCGGGGAGGGGCCTGTGAAGTGGAAGTCAGCACATGCGCCTATTGAAGACCTCAGACACTGAAGGGAAAAGTACCAGAGAATGCCTGGGGACCGGACTCAGTCAAGAGTGGGAAGAGGAAATGGCAGAAGGTGCCCAGTGCTGCCAAGTGTCCTGGGCAGTGTCTCTGGAGGCCACAGCCTGCCTGCTGGTGTTCCTGTGCAGCTCAGCCCCATGGCTGATGCGGGTGCAGTGGCTCAGAACTTGTCAGGCTTGTCGCCTTGGCAGGATGCTTGTCTTCTGTGTTCATTAGGCTTTGGAGGAAGACAGCCCACACTCCTTCTGAGGCATAATTGACCTGGGCTGTACCAAGAATGTCAGTGATTCAGTGACATGATTTACCTGGTGTCACCTTACCTAGGGAAGACAGGGATCATAGATGTGATTGCTCTTACTGTTTATTTCAAATGATTCCCGTTGTACAGATGAAGAGCTGAGGCATCGAGATTTCAAATAACTTGTCCTAATTTATACCATAAGTAGATCTTTCTGGCTCTCATTCTTAACCACTGATAGAGTTTCTTTGTACCAGAAATGCCCATGAAGGAAAACTTGTGCTTGTACTTCCTCTCTGTGCACCATGGAACCCGGAAACTGGACCAAACAGCTGACTGCTAGCTCCTAGGCTTGTTCTCAGATAAATGTGTGGCCTAGAAGGACTCAGTTTGAGGAAGTTTCTGGATACATTTTGCTATAGATTTCTTGCATAATAATATTTGTTAACCTTTATCAAGTGTTTACTAGGTTTTTTTACATGTACCATGTCATATAATCGTAGCAACAGTCCTACGAGGTGGGTATTTCTGTGAATTTCATCCTACAGGTCCAAGACAAAGTGATGCTGTCATGGAAATCACTGTTCTGTTATGCTGTCTCCCTGGTGTCCACTCCCTTTTATCAGTACCTTCTCTTGGAACCCCCTTTTGTTATTTATTTATTATTTTGCTTATTCGTTTATGATAAACTTTATTTTTAAGTAATTTTAGATTTATAGAAATGTTACAGAGATAGCACAGAATTTCTGTATATGCTTCACTCAGTTTCCTCTATTGTTACCATGGTACATTTTTGCCTGACCCCTTTTAAAGCAAATCATTTCTGGTCAATTTTCTGAATGGCAGGTGCTGGGTGGCCAGAAACAGTTCAAGAACTTTCAGATCGAGGTGCAGAAGGGTCGCTACAGTCTGCACGGTTCGGACCGCAGCTTCCCCAGCCTGGGAGACCTCATGAGCCACCTCAAGAAGCAGATCCTTCGCACAGACAACATCAGCTTTGTGTTGAAGCGCTGCTGCCAGCCCAAGCCCCGAGGTCGGTCTTCCTGTGCCAGAGCTAGGCCGTGTCCCCTCAGCGATGCCCTGTGCCCTTCTGATGTTCCGATACTCAGGTCAACCAAAAGATGCTGGTAGCTTTGAAGAGAGTGGCCTCTCCTCACAGTTTCTAGGTGTCTTTCATTGACTCGTTACACGTCTGTCCCCAACGCAAATCCCATTCCTCAAGTGTCAGCATTTTTTATAGAAAAACATACACCTTTCTCAGCACCCCTATTAGGCTGCAGAAAGAGGCTCGTTTAGGATTCGTAAGCAGAAACTTTTTCTTTAAGATAAAATGTCTTGAGAGTTCTGTCAATGGTTTATCTATCTGAGAAATGTTCCTGGGACATCTTCTGTGGACCAAGAACTATGTTAGATGCAAAGAATCAGAAATGCCTAGCACGTGGTCCCTGCTCTCCAAGGGTTTCCTATCTAATACAGAAAACGTTGCAGGGAAACGAAGCCACTGTTGGATGTCATGAATGTTTTAATCAATACGTACATGTACGAGACCTGGGCTTGCAAAGAAGCAATGGATGGTCAAAATCCCTGAGTCACAGGGAAGGCTCTATGGAGGAGGCGGATATTGAGCCAGGTGTTGGACAGTGAGTGGGAGCTTGCCAGTTAGGTGAGGGCACGTCCAGGAGAGCATGGGCAGGGGCAAAGAGGTAGGCAAAAGCAGGGGCTGCGGGAGGGTTCTGGAGGGCTGATGTGTTTGGCAAAGTTAGAAAGAAGGGGCAGGTGAGACTGGGAAGGGAGAGATTTGGGATCATGGGCAGCTTTGAATGCCATGCCAAGGAGCTGGGACTGTATCCTATAGGCAGTGGGGAGCTATGAGAGGGTCAGAGAGTAATAAGATGGATAGGAGGGCACGAGGAACTTAGCTGCCTTTTTTTAAAGCTTCATGAATGTGTCACTGATGTCCTGCAGATGGATTCATCACTTTTTAGAATGTGAGAGCTGGAAGGACACTTAGAGCCGGAAGGACACTTAGGAGTGGCCCGGTCAAGTGCCCCATTTTACACACGAGAAAACTGAGCTAGAGAAGTGAAGTAGGTCTTATTGAAGGTCAAGGTCAAATTGAGGTTTGAATGCCAGGTTTACCCCAAATGCCAGATCCCTTGAGCATTGTGTTTTTTTTTGACATTCTCCTACTGCAGAGTGCTGCCCTGTACGTGTCAGATCCTGCCTTAGTGTAGGGGTCAGGCCTCAAGGAAAGGGCTACACAGTTGTTCCTGAGGCCCTAGTAAGTGCAGTTGAAGATACTCGGAGGGCTCTATCTGAGACATTTCTTGTTCTTTTAAGGGAATGCTTATTTATGTCAGGGGTGGGTGGAGGAAGGACACCAGGACAAAAAGGGCCTGGGTTCTTGATGTTTGAATCGCATTTTGGTCTCTCAGCAAGGGACTGTCACTGAATTTGGTGAAAGAGGAAGGACTTGTGTTCTTGTTGATCAGATAGGGTTTCCTGCCAGCCTTGCAGAGTAACTGCAGCCTTTGTTTTTGTGATAGAAGATGTTCCACAGAGGTAAAAACACATCTGCCACTTGGTCGTGAGTCCTCAGAGTGAGTTAAAACCTTAGAGCCCAGTGACCCTGTTTACTCACATAATCTCTCCTTCCAGCTATTAGAAGCAGTTTTTATTTTCCTGGAAATTGGTGGTCTCTAGGTGAGGCTGAGGACATGGAGAATAGCAGCCACAGGAAGAGGGAGGTGGTGGCAGGTGGGAGACTGGGATGTGATTCTTTGCAGGCATCAGCCGGGGAGGTCTCTGGTGTAGATGCCACACCTACTAACCCAGACCTGGGAGCTAGTAGCTGTGGAGGGAGAAGCACGGGAATGGAATTGAACCCTCTCTCCTGGCTTTCTTTTGAGGCTCCATGAACCCTGCATTGAATATGTTTAGTATTTGTTTCTCCCACTTGACTGTGAACTTGTAAGACAGGATCTGGGTCTCAGCACTCTGTGACTCATGGGAAGCACAACACCCAGCACAGAATCAGCATTCACTAATGCCTATCAAGTGAATGATGTCAGCAGTAGCTACCATATTGGTGGGTACTTGCTAGTCCCAAGCAGTATGTATACATATTTCATTTCTTTCATCTACATAATAGGTCTTTGTAGCTATTATAAAGATGAGAAAACTGAGGCTCAGGGATGTTCAGTGACGTGCTCAAGGCCACACAGCTAGTATTATCAGTGGTATTTACAATAATAGTAACAATAGATAACGATGATGACAATGGCTACTATTATGTGAGTATTGCTTGCAGTTTGCCAGGCAGTGTTTGAGGATCTTTCATGTTTTAAATCATTTAATCTTCAGAACAACTCAGTATATTTTTATCCCGATTATACTTGCCCCAGATCACTTAGGTAGTTAGAGGAAGAGTGGGGATTTGAAGTCATGGATTCTGGCTCCAACTCCAGTGACCTTTCCCCTTTATCACACTGTCTTTGCAAAGGTGCAGGTGCAGCCACCAGGGCCAAGACTTTGGGGAAAGGGCCAAGTCTCCTAACTGGGGTGTGTGGGGGGATGGGTGCTGAGGAGGGGAGGGAAGAGGGGGGACTGGAGGTGGGGAGAGTAAGAATAAGCCCTGTGTGTGAGGCTTCCTCATGTAGGCCCCCAGAGCCCTCTATCTTTCTCTCTCACTTGCAAATTAGAGAAGTGGTGAAATCATGAAAATTAAAGAGAATGTTGTTTTAAGTTCCTCAGTGTCTCTGCTATTCTAACCACAGGGTTCTGATGGTCAGACCCCAACATGGGTTTCTCACTTGTAAACACAACTGAGAAACTCCTCATGGAATAAGTAAAAAGCAGGCAGTCACTCAGAGTGGGTGTGACAGTTAAGTCTACCATTTCTTGTGTATTGTCCAGCCCCACTGCCCCTTTCTAAGTCTGAGGGTGACCATGTTTAGAAGGAGTTTGGGGCCCACAGGACTCACTGGCCCGGTCACCACTGATCCTCTCACATCCTCATCTGTGGCGTCAGGCTTGGTGCTTGATTTCTTCACCTTTCAGCTCTGACACCGAGAACTTTGGTCAAGGCTCGAGAAAGCACTAGTACAACAAGGATGATGTCGCTAAGATGTAATACTTGTCACAATCACAATGGTTCCCAGTCATGGAGCATTCACTGTACATCAGGTGCTGAAGCGAGCCCTTCACCTCGGGTATCTCGCTTAGGCCTCACAGCATCCCGACAAGGGGCACAACTGAGTCTCTCATTTTTCTAGTGAGAAAGCATCCATGGAGGCCAAATGGCTTCCTCTACTTGCTTGGTTGACCCTGGTGCTGTGTTCCCTGAAGCAGCCATGAAATGGCCCCTGTCCGCGTCCTCTCTCTAATTTCCCACACAGCTCTATTGCCCTGGCCCTTCCTTGGGGACACCATTCGCATAGCCTTTTCCTGATGTCTTTTCTCCATCAGGGAAGTTGGGAGTTGCCTGTTTGAATCCGACTCCACCCAGGTAACAAGGTGGAGTCAGGATAACAGTGGAGGGGAGGAGGGTAGACTCAGGGTATGATGACAAGGGGAACCTGTACTTGAACCCAGTTTCTAGCACCCAGATTCATATTCCCCACCCTGCCCCACTAGGGTCAGGGGTATGGTGGAAAGAAAGTAAGAGACTAGAGCCATCCCTGACTGGGTGAATCCCAAGTCTGGGATGTACTAGCTACCCAACCTTGAGCAAATGGTTTAATCATTCGGAATTTGTTTCCTGACCTATAAAACGGGGATAAGAATACTGTGTACCTCAGGATTGTCATGAGGAACAAGGAGTTAATGTGGTAAAGCTCTTAGGATAGTAGCTGGCGCAGAGAAAGCCGTCAGAGATGTGAGCTTAAAAAAAAAAAACCTCTGCCTTTCAGGGCAGTGAGAGTTTGGGAGACCACGTTTGAGTCACTTGGCCTGGTGCTCAGCAGCTACCAGAGGTAAACAGAGATCTTGACAGGTGTCTGGAACACTCTCTGCTAGTCAGTCTGGAAGGAGCTCTCTTTGCCCATGGCACACTGTAGCCTGCAGTGGCCCCGAGGTGGGAGGTGACTCCCATAGACCGTAAATTCCCAGTTAGCCACCTGTGCGGACCTGGCCTAGCAGATTTTGTAAGGTGTTGGTTTGCTGTTTGAATCAGTAGAATTTGAGGGGTGATCCGCTTAAAATAGATACAGTCAACAAGTGCTTAGAAAGTGCCTTCTTGTTGTCAGGCAGTGTGGGAGTCCGAAGAAGTTCAGGCACAACCCTGTCCCTGGGTCACCTGCCCTGTTCTTCTGCACAAAACTAGTGTTTTTCACCATCCTTTCTTGCTTCCCATCACTCCTAAGGCCCAACGTACTGCTGCTTTCTCCTCAGCCCGTATCCTACCATGTACCAGGCTGAGGAGGTAGAACAGGAATCCTTGGGGAAACCTTGCCTGAGCTCTCCTACTAGGACCACCTGCTGTGTCGACCCCCGGCACCCATGCCTATCCTTAAGATAGCTGCACAAATTGTAGCTCTTCCTTCTGATTGGTTAGTTTTTTTTTTTATTATTAGTTTTCATTCTGTTATTAACCTGTGAGCTCTTGGAGGGCAGGAATGAAGTACTTTTAGTAAAAATTAGTAAATGACGGAACCAACAAATGCACAGATAGGTGTTCGGCAAGCCCCATAGCTCAGCAGACACTGGCTACTTGGAATCTTGGGCTTTTGCTCCCCTGCTCAGACACCTCTCCTCTTGTCCACAGAAATCTCCAATCTGCTGGTGGCTACTAAGAAAGCCCAGGAGTGGCAGCCCGTCTACCCCATGAGCCAGCTGAGTTTCGATCGGATCCTCAAGAAAGACATTATGCAAGTGAGTCATTGCTGTGGTTTCTGGGTCCAGCCTTGGTCCTGCCTCCCTTCTGCAGAGCAGCTCAGGGACCTGGGGAGGGATAAAGTCTGGGTTTGGGCAAATCCTGGTAGAAAAGGCACAGGGAGACTTTCCTTTCACAGTTAAAGCAGTTTAACCGGTACCCTGCTGTCCTACCCAGCCTTGCTGATGTTCCCAGAAACGCTTTCTTCTTGAAGGAAGTTGATTAGTTAGGCTTTGTGGGATTGTCTAGGGTACAGGGACCTTCCATTGTGGGTCTTCTAAGACAGAAGGAATTGGAGAACTCAATGGGAATGCTGACAGGGCAGTAAGAATCAGGTCTCCATGGGAGGGAGTGAGCAGATGATCCTTACTGCCCCATGACACACTCTGTGACAAAGTACTCTAAAGTTTAGTCTGGACTTTCTTACGTATTCAGAGGAGCAAAGCAGAGAGACACAGAACACAGTGAGGCAGCAGGAGATGCACAATTTAGGCCTGAAGGAGACCTGTCTGGAAGAACATTCCAGATCAGTGTCCCAGCCTTGGCAGGCTTTTTGCTCAGAGTCTGCAGCCTTAGGCAGGCTCATTTTCCCTCATAGCTGCCCTTTGGTCTTGGCTAGGAGTGTGAGGCCCAGGGCATAGCCCACTTTCTGTTCTCTACCCCTTCCGTAGGCCCCTTACACAGAGCCACACACAGGAGGAGGTAAAGGGGACAACGTGCAACAGCCTTGGAGAGAAGAAATCTGCATGGGGCCATTTACTACCTGGGAGAGGCTGTGATACCTTGGAGGTGTTGGAGGGTGGATCATGGGCTCACCGCCATGAAGGAGCCTGGTAGAGAGTGGTGGGCATGGGGTTGGTTTGTTAGTTTACTTTAAGTTAATCCCTGAAATTATTGGGCAGGGTTTTGAGGGAGTGGAAGTCCACAGCTACAACTGCCTCACTTACTGTGAACCCTTCACTGAAGGCTGATCTTTATTATTCTCTGTCCCTCTGGTGGTGTCAGAGCTGTGTCCAGAGATTGAAACTACCAGGGCAGCAATACCCTAGCCTCTTTTCTGTCCAGAAGTTGACATATACTTCAGGCTTTTCTTCTTTCTTTCTCCTCCAGCTTCTTAGCAGATAACTGCCACCCTCCATTCCCCCAGTGTTTACTTAGCCAGCGGTGCTGGAGCACTTCCGTGTGCGAGGCACGGATGCCACCCTCAGCGGGCTTAGTCTGGTGAAGGAGGCAGACTCTTGTCTATCTTACGCGGGCAATTACATCATCAAGAGACAAGTCCTAAGTGGGGAAGTACAGCAGGATGTGGGACTGTCAGAGACAGTCATCCTACCTAATCTCAGGAGGACAGAGATGGCTTTCTGGGGGAAGTGACATCAAAGCAGAGACCCAGAGAATGAAGAACAAGTGCTAGGCAGAGGCAGCAGCTTGGAAGGAGGCTGATGTGAGACCCAGAGGGTCTTTGTGGGTTGCTGTGGAATCCTGACAGCATGGTGCTGTGACTTGGCCACTGGAATAAGTAATCTTTCTGGGGAAGAGTAATTATTCTGAAAGCATATGGCTTTTATGGGATGTTCTGGGAACACAACTTCCCATAACCTGAGGAATCACTTCATGACAGATGCAGCTTTAATGAATAGTCATAGGACCTTGCCAGGATACGGGACCCAGTGTGGATATATTGCTATTCTACTATGACAGATGACAAATGTTACATTTTTGCAAATTAATATATCCGATTAATGGTGTTGTACATTCCTGTGGGGGACAGGAGTCAGCCTAGAGTGTCTGCTACCATCCATTTTCTCCACTTACCAGGGGTGGGGGGGAGGCAATCCTAGGATAATAGAATCATAGCACTTCATTTTATGAGTTTTGTGTGTTAATAACTTGATAATGCCTAAGCTTTGTGAATCACATGTTGATTTCCAAATATTAAGAACGTTTAAATCAGAATTATTCAAACTTAAACTGGGTCTGTGGAGACAGAGCATTATATGCTTAGGGCTTTGCAAGGATGATCTCATTTAGCCCTTGTACCATCATTTGATGGCATTATTTCTTTCCATGTGTGAGGAAACCGAGGGCCTGTCCTTCTAGTCTGTGCCTCTGTCTTCATGCCACCTTCTCTGTGGGCAAAAATTGCTAGAGGAAATACATGTGTAAATTGCATCACTAATTTTAAAGCACGCACATATGCACACATATACTGGATAGAGGGATAGAAAATGAACAGTTTGCGTGTGAGAAATAGCAAGTGCCTGGTCTAGGGAGTGATCAAACAAAACACACTGGTCCAACAGATTGGTTTCTGTCCACTGTGTGCCAGGGTCTGTACCATGAACTTTTATATCTATTTGCTCATTGGATTCTTGGAATAACCCTAGGAGACAGGTATTATTATCTTCGTTTACAGAAAGTAAGCAGACAATTGAGCATGGTAAAAGAGCGTCCCTAAGTTAGATGGCCAGCAGGCAGCAGAGCCAGGACTAACACGCCCCTTCGTGCTCCATCCTGTGTGTGTGTGTGTGTGTGTGTGTGTGTGTGTGTGTGTGTGTGTGTGTGTGTGTGTGTGTGTGTGTGTGTGTGTGTGTGTGTGTGTGTGTGTGTGTGTGTGTGTGTGTAGGGGGAGCCCCCGATTGGGCCCTCTCTGAGTCTGCTCTGGAGGCCTCGGGTGGGGCTGATGTCACTGGCTATTGTAGCACTCTTAGAAATTTTGTGATAAGTCAGGGTTATGTTTTGGCCATAGGCGGTTCCTAGAGGTAGAAAGGATGGAACTGTTTGGGAATGTGAGGACTGTCTCCTGGGGCCCAGGAAGTGCCAAGACTGTGTTTGGCCAAGTAGCTTTCATTTCCCCTAGAGGCCTGACCAGGGCCAGGCGCTGGAGAGGCTGCGAGCTGTTGGGAATCTTTTGCCTTTGCCCCACCCCTTTCTGGCATTCTGTGTTCCCAATAAGTCCTCAGTCCCAGATTCTGGCACCACAGTAGCCCCAGAAAGCAGTCACCCAACCTCTTGCTTTTTCTTCCAGGGCGAACACCTTGGGAGAGGCACGCGGACACACATCTACTCTGGGACCCTGGTGGATTACAAGGATGACGAAGGAATATCTGAAGAGAAGAGAATAAAAGTGATCCTCAAAGTCTTAGATCCCAGCCACAGAGACATTTCTCTGGCAAGTGTTTTCCTTATAACTCGACCCTTTCTACCCCCATTTATGGAACCAGTGGTGCACAGTGGACTGGGAAGAACCTTTGCCCTTATTTTGGCCTTATTTATGATTTTCAAATTTGTATTTTAGTCAAGGTTTCTATCTTCAAATGTAATCTTACATAAACCTGTATGTCAAATAAGTAAGGGAACATCGGAGATGGAGTAGATTGAGCAGCCCCTCTCTGTCCATCTCACTCCCCTCCCATTCCTACCTAGAGGTCCTGGTGGTGGTGCTGGAGCCCCGGGCCTCCAGCTGACTGGACTCAAAGTCCCTGATGTGGTCCAGAGCTGTCACTTCACAGTCTGGAAACTTAAAGCCCAGAGCAGTAAAAACTTACCTGGGACCGGCAGGCCGTTGGAGGGTGAGAAAGACAAGTCTTGGCAGAGCTCTGCTGCCCTGGTTTCCCTTTCGTTCTAATGTCGTGCCAAACTTTCTCAAAGTTTAAAGGAAGAGAAAGTGATGGGCACGAGCACCCAATGGGGAACTTGTTAGATTATCCCACCTGCCTGGCTCTGTATCCTGTTAGATTCTCTAAATAAATACTACAGCCCAGCCAGACTGGCCTCAAGGTAAGGGTTTGGCCTTTGGGCTCTCAGGGCCAGGCAGACAGTTTTTAAGACCTGGATGATGGGAGTTGTGAGCTTTCCTGGGGCCCACTGATTTTCCTCTCAGCAGACCCCCTTTGGGGTCAGACCAGAGGAGTCTGGTCCCTCACATTCCTTTGTCCTGTTCTCCCACAGGCCTTCTTTGAGGCAGCCAGCATGATGAGACAGGTCTCCCATAAACACATCGTGTACCTCTATGGCGTCTGTGTCCGAGACGTGGAGAGTAAGTGTATTCCCTTTGGAAGGGGAAGCTGGCCCTGGCTGGGGAGCATGGGTGTTGTGAAGACAACTGTGGCTGTTACGCACTTCATGTTGTCTGTGTTTCTTGCCTTTTTGGCAATCAAGGAATTTGAAGCGCTGAGCAAGTCACCTGTTTAATAGTGGACGTGGAACTAAATCCCATTTGTTTTTCACTCATTTCTTGAGCATTTACTTCTTGCCAACTCTGGGCCCTGGGAGGTCGGGGTAAGCCGAGTTTGTTGCCCTGTGAGTTGGTATAAGGAGCTCTGGGCCAGGGCTGAACCCAGGCCTGTCCGGCTCTGGAGCAGTCTGCCGTTTACCCCTCCCATGGGTGTTTGCATCCTCTCAAGCTGAGTACCAGCCTCTAAAGTGGGCTCTTGTAAGGGAATGAGGGAAGTTACTGTCCCAGATGGACAGAAGGTTCCAGATGTGGCTCTTTTTGTGCTTGTAGATATCATGGTGGAAGAGTTTGTGGAGGGAGGGCCCCTGGATCTCTTCATGCACCGGAAAAGTGATGTCCTCACCACACCATGGAAGCTCAAAGTTGCTAAACAGTTGGCCAGTGCCTTGAGTTACTTGGTAAGTGTATCCTGATGTCTGTGGTGGTCCCCCAAGAACCAGAGTGTCCCAGTAGGGGGTGGCAGGAAGTTGGTCCTAGCCCAGCAGTAGCCAAACAGGCTGGAGGGACCCATACTCTGTGGGTAAACACACGTGTGCCTGGTGCTTAGTGAAAATGGTCATTTTGGGCTGCTTCCTGTGACCCAAACATATGAATCCTGTTTAGAGGGCAGTTTTATCATGTCAGAAGACTGACTTCTGTGTTGCAATGTATGGTAAGAGAAAAAAGAATGTAATATTTGTTGAATGAATGAAAGAAACCACTAGCATCAGTGGTAGTTCACATTTAGTGCTTACCAGGTTCACCTGTTCAAGAGGTTTACAGGTTTTAATCCCTTTAATTCTTGCAAAAGCCCTATGGGGCATGCTCTGCTGTTATCCCTGTTTCACTGATAAGGGACATATAATGTGCCTAACTCGTGGTGGGAGAGTTGTACCACCTGGATCTGGCTGCACCTGGGGAATGTGGAGAGATTGATCTGACGGCTAGGGTTGAAAACGGCGTGTGGGCAGGACTGAAGACACGCAGCCTGCGGGCAGCTTCGCTGAGCTCACTCTTTCTGCTCTGTAGGAGGATAAAGACCTGGTCCACGGAAACGTGTGCACGAAAAACCTCCTCCTGGCTCGTGAGGGCATCGACAGTGAGTGTGGCCCATTCATCAAGCTCAGTGACCCCGGCATCCCCATCACTGTGCTGTCCAGGCAAGGTGTGTCTCCCTATCCTCACATCTTGCCCTTCTCCCCTCCCCCCGCCCCCACCCCAAGGCGGGGTCTGGACAGTGGGACGGGGGCTGGGGCTGGAGTTCTGTCTGTCTCCTTTTAGAAGTACACTTCAGCAGATGGGTGTCTGGTGCTGCTACCATGCCCTGGGGGCCAGGGAATATATAGAGTGTAGGGAGGGTTGGTCCCTGCTTCCTTTAAGGAGCTGACTGTGCAATAGGAGAAACAGAAAATTCACTTGAGGCACATCTGGTCTTTGTAACGAAGGGGCTATGTTCAGGGTGTAGCTGTAGCACAAAGGGATGCTGCTCTGCTGGGTTCAGAGGTGGTCAGGGAGGCATCAGGAGGAGTGGGGGCTCTTGGGTCCTCCCCTCTTTCTTTGAAATCCACTGTAGTTAGTGAGCATATTGGGGAGGCACCCGAGCAATTGTGGTCATGTGTCCCCTGAGGTTATTGTGTGTTGTGGGCGCCAAGGGAAAGGACAGACCTGGGAGCTAAGACACTGAAACCCGCTCTGTAAAGATCATGCTCTGCCTCTTCGCCTTGTAGGCCCTACATGGAATACCAGCGTGTCCCAGGGTATGCCGCTGGCCAGCGATGGCCAGCAGTCTCCAGTCATCGAGCATGGTGCCTGGCACTTAAGAGTTTTGCTCAGTAATTCAGGACTGGACTAAATTTGGAAGCGAGCCAGGATGAAAACCAAGCCTTAGGAATAAGACCCAAATAAATCATTGGAAGGGGAAGGGGAAGCAGCCTTCAGTACCTGTTTGACACTTTTCATCCAGCCATCGTCCAAGTCCTGAGGCAGATTCAGCCATGAATCTGTCAGGGGGCCTGTCCTCAGCAAGGGTTTGAGGCATGGACACAGGTGACTCTAGAACAAGTAGGAACTAGGTTTCCCACAAGAGATACCAGTCGAATGCTGTGGGCTTTCAGAGGGGAGAGGCATCATCCATTTGGGGAACAGAGGGTGATTCAGGGAAGTGGTGGGATTGCAGATCAGTAAGGTGGGCCTGCAGCTAGGTGACAGCACCCCTGCATGTAGGTGCATTGGGAGGAAGAACATGAGAAGGTGGAGGAGGAAGGGAAGTGGGCCTGATTGTGAATGCCCAGCTCAGGAGGGGCCCTCCTGCCTCTATCCAGAGCCGGGAGGCTGTGCTGTGAGGCCGTTGTGCTGGTTGAGGGGCATTTCCATGGACATGGCAGGGGTTTCTGCTCAGGTCACTGGCATTGGTTAGAAGCCAGAATAGGGGATACAGAGGTAGCTGGGTATGAGAGATGTGTGACTTCTTCACATCAGTCGTCCCTTCCCTTGTTCTTTCCCCAGTGAAAGAAAACCTACATAAAATGAATACAATATTTGGGACAATTGTGCAGAATATGTGAGGTTAGCCCATGCCTGCTCTGCATAAGTTGGCTTCTCCTCCCCTGCCTTCTCTTTCTTAAGCCTTTGTCCACATGACCCCCTGTTCTCCCTCCTCAGGGTGTTGGCCTCCACCCTAGGTGCTTCGCTGTTTCTGAGGCCAGAGCTTCAGAAGACTGGCTACCCTCCTGGGGAGTCTGTGATCAACAGACGGTCTGCTGGCCCTGACTCAGACTGATACATCTGAAGCACCAAGGATGAGGGGCCTGGAAAACCACACTTTAACAAGCTCCCCACAGAGCTAATGTAGCTGTGGTCCGTGTTCAGAAAACACTGCTCGAAATTGTTTCTTTGTTGGCTCACAGTTCTTGCTGCAGTGGGAGTGATTTACTCCCCAGGTGATCCTAGAAACTGATCTGTAAATGTCTGCTGTCTTCTTGCAGAGTGCATAGAACGAATCCCGTGGATTGCTCCTGAGTGTGTCGAAGACTCCAAGAACCTGAGCGTGGCCGCTGACAAGTGGAGCTTTGGAACCACACTCTGGGAAATCTGTTACAACGGCGAGATCCCCCTGAAAGACAAGACGCTGATCGAGGTAAGTGGTTGTTTCTCAGGATGCGAGCTGGGCAAGGGCTCCTTGGGCGTTCATGGACGTCCAGGAGTTCCCAGGACGCCTCATGTGGGACGCAGTGGGCAAGGCTTTGTTTTAAATCCCCTCCTCAGGCTTGCTGCCTATGTGACCTTGCAAATTAAACTAAACTTACCTGAGCCTCAATTTCATCATCTGTACAATAGGGGTAAATAATACCCAGTTTTTGGGTTGCTGTGAAGATTAAGTAAATAATGCATGTACAGTGCCAGGTACACAACATGTGCTTAATAGGTCATTATAGTTTTATTTATCTGAGATTCTGAGTGCCTGTTACTCACCAAAATTAACATATTTGTTGAGTTCCTCCTGTGTATCAGGTATTGCCTAGGTAAAAGCTGGGGGCTCACAATGAAATAGACATAGGCCTTGCCTTCCCTTGATGACCTTAGGATGTGGTAGGAGAGTTAGGCTGAAATAATAATAAGGAATCCACAAACAATATCTGAAACTGTCACCCTAAGAGCCCTGCAAGTTAGGTAGGACGGTGTCATTACCTTCATTATACAGGTCAGGTAACTGAGACACAGGTAGCCCAAGACACTAACTTAGGTTCCCCAGGAAGAATGCAAAACAGGTGAGGCTTGAACCTCTCACATTTACTTGTAGGAAGAGTGGAGACTCCAATTCCAAAAGAATAAAGTGGTAAAAATAACAACAAAGGACCACTGACCCTGGCCCAGTGATTCGATTATGGGAATGTGCCTGTGTGTGTAGGCGCTTTGCGCTGGGAGGGATTGACCAGAGGGAAGGTAGAATTTTGGTTATCTGTGGAAAGCAATGAGTGGTTTCATTTGCCTAGAATATGGAGAGGAATGACACATGATAGGTTGAAAAGATCATTTGGGGTCACATTGTAAAAATCTCTGAATTCCAGAGATTTTACTGGGGGGTCATGTGGGACATTGAAAGGTTTTGGTGATGAGTAAAGTGGTCAGAATTGGCTTGGGGACAGTTCATCTGGATGCAGTGGTTGGGATAGACAGGCTGAGAAGGGACTAGGAGGAGATTCATGTTCAGAGGCCAAAACAGGGAATGGCAGTGGGAATCCAGAGTGGAGGGTGTACACGTAGGAGGTGATCAAAAAGGTGGAAACTTTAACCACTTAACTTTTCGCCAGGTAGAGATGGTGCAGGATAGAGGAGGTAACCATCAGATCTGTAAATCTACTTGGTATTTTCAGCCTAGGCTTTTGGGAAAGCCATTTTATTTTGAACTTCCTTGGAAATAAAACAGCATACTCTTTGTTGTCAGTACTTACTGAGCACCTGCTGTGTACCCAGGGCCATATGGGGATGATGTAAGGAAGGGAGTGTGCCTTTGATAAAAGAGGGTTCCCTCTCTCCTCCCAAGTGCCCTTGGTTCGGTTGGACGGCCGTGGAGTGGGGAACGGTGAGGGCAACTCTCAGCCCCTTAATCCCAATCTCTCTTCCTCTTCTTCCTCTGGGCCTGCCCCCCCCCACCCTCACCCCAGGATTCATGAGGGCCGAGAGGAACTAGTACTCTCGAGATCCAGCTACAGATGAGAAACAAGAGTGTAGTGATTCCACTTAATTTTTTATTTTAAAGTGGCATAATTATTTGTTTCCGAATTTTAAAATTTGAAAAACAAAAAAAACTTAAGGAAATAGCAGTCACCATATTCTTGCCACTTTTTAACACTTTGTCATATTGTCTTCCAGTCTGTTTATTTATTAAAAAATTTTTAACACACACCTCTATGAAATCTACCTTTAAGCAGAGCTGTTGGGAACTAAAATTAGGGATTGGTTATTCCCCTTGACCTGGGGCTAAAAGGTTTATGGCGGTTCCTTTAGTTTCTTCCATGTGATCATCGTCCTCTTTACAGAAAGAGAGATTCTACGAAAGCCGGTGCAGGCCAGTGACACCATCTTGTAAGGAGCTGGCTGACCTTATGACTCGCTGCATGAACTATGACCCCAACCAGAGACCCTTTTTCCGAGCCATCATGAGAGACATCAATAAGCTGGAAGAGCAGAGTAAGACACTGCCTCGCGCTGTGGAACCAAGATTGGCAAAAGCCCTGGAGAGCGGGTTGGGGGCGGGGGTGGAGGGGTGGCGGGACTAGGAGCCCATGAGTGGCATTTGTATCTTTTTAACATGTTTGCTTTTTTCTTCCATTAGATCCAGACATTGTTTCAGAAAAAAAGCCAGCAACTGAAGTGGACCCCACACATTTTGAAAAGCGGTTCTTGAAGAGGATCCGTGACTTGGGAGAGGCAAGTCACACTCTTGTACCTTCTGACCCCATCACTTCTGTCTGCATTTAAAGTCACTCTCCATTCTCATTTTGGGTCAAAGTTTATAAGAGAAAGCATCTTAGTGCATCTTCTTTGGGCCACTTGTATCATAGGGGATTGTGTCGCATAGTGACAGCATGTATATATGGCTGTATATGCACATAGGACATTGGCCAGCTCACTCGAGAGACTTGATTTTTCTCTGAGGGACAGAGGAAGATGGAAAGGGGCAATATTGGGTAGTAGGCGTAGATACAGTAGAAATTAAAAATCCCTGTCTCCAACTCTCCTGGCTGTCTGTAGCCTGTGCAGCTGCTTAAAGGAGGGATGGGTTTACTACACAGGATGCCAATATCAGCTTTCTTTTGGGCCTCACGTGGGAGTCTCCTAAGTTAATATAGTGTGATAGCGATAGGGATTTGTGTCTTTGTACAGATTTTTCTATAAAGTCAACAAAGACTGTGTCCTGCCTTGAGTCTCTGTGGTGTGACAGGCTATGTGCTGGGTATTTTACAAGCACAGTGTCCTAGTTACTCACAATATTCCTGAGGGTTTATCACTGCAGTATATATTGAACAGCTCCGGGCCAGCTCAAAAGATTTGGTGACTGGGCCAACATCACTATCAAGTGGCTTAGCTGGGGCTTATCCCATATCTTCTAAAAACGCTTCATGCGACACTCTTTGCAGCTGCACTGTGGGGCGTCCCCTGCAGTGTGGGCTGTCCA